TTTATATGATATACTGTAGCTCTGAGTCACGTGATACCTTCGTACAATGGCTCTCGTTTGTTTTGAACACAATGGCTCTCGTTTGTTTCCGTTTGTTTCCGTTTGTTTGTTTAGAATTGATGTAAATTTTATTTGAGTTGCCTGTTTGGCCACCGTGACCAACACGCAAAGTGTCTGATCAATATATTGATCAGCGACAGCTTGAACACCATGATTCCCAACACCAAATATGCACTGTCAGGCCAGGGTGCATTCCATGTATGTTACGCCGGAGATCTCCGGCGTGGACTTGAAAATGTGGTTGGTGTATTGGCGTGAGTTACATATAATTTGATACGTTGGCGTTCAAATTTTCCAGCCTTCTTTGGCTTCCTGGCGTGTAACAGCCTGTGTTGCAGACTTGTAGACTACACAGAGATAGAGTCCGAGTGTAAATAAGTGGCCAACTTTATATGCAACACCACTTGCAAGTTCGCAATAACCTGCTCCGCTGCTCGCAGGCCATAAGTTGTGTAATTACTATTGGGCGAATACTTCATGTATGCTTTAACCTACTACCTTGGACAAAATAATACGCATACATGAAGTAGGAAAGTTTCCAAAATCGTGCGAGAAGCCGAGAATGGCGATAAGTTGAGATTCACTTATTCAGAGATGGATAAAGTAATAAAAGAAGATTTAAAACGATCTATAAGCTCTAAGAAGATCAGACGGGAGTCAAAAGGTAAACTTGCTGTTAATTATTGAATAAATATGCATATTAAATGCATCAATTAAAGAGTCATTATCAACCACAATGGCAATGCATTTGTGCACATCTTACCTTCGGAAATGACAAATAGCAACAAATAACAATTATAAATATTTCTTTGGTGCAATTTTAGTTAAAAAATTTAAAATGAGCAAGTATAACTATAGGATGGTAGTAATATATTATGGATTGAAAACCGGAACATCTAGTATTATTCCGCCATTAAAATGGCCGCCAAGCAGGTTTGGGACTTTGGGTGCACAATGCGTTGTGGTTGTCTGCTGGACAATGACTCCAGGGCCGTGCCAATCGGTTTCTGGTTGGGGGGGTATTCCAAAATGTGGGCCCCTTCCATTCTAGGCCACCCCAAAATTTTTCCGGAAAGCAAAAATTTTTTCGGACAATGTTTGAATTAATTAAATAGTGCATGTATAAAATTTTATGCAGCATTTAATTGAATTATAATCAAGATCGCTGATACTATCCCTGGACCTAAACTCCAGAGGCAAGGGCAAGACCAGCTTATATAACTTTATTAATATATAAACTGGACCCCATCCCGGGCATGTTTGTTGCTTTCCTTCTTCCATTCCAACATGTATGTAAAAAAGAGAAGAATAACTAGATTAGAAGAGTATATACAGTGTGAGTAAAATTTCTTGATTCCCATTCTTCCATTTTTGAACTTGTAAATCCCCCTCAAAACAACAAATAATTTAATATTGTGTCCTCTTTTCATGTATGCTTTTATATCATATTTAAGATGGATAACAATTGTCATGTCTGTGACACAATAGTTGGGCAAGCTCATCAATGTGCCAAGTGCCACAAGCATGTCCATTTATTCAAGTGTGGAAAACCTATTGGAGAGGAGGGCTATGGACAAAAAGTGATTTGTAACACATGCAACACTGCTGAAGGTATATTTTCATAATTATTTAATGCAGGAATATATAGAATTAATCTGCACTTAATATAGTGTATTCTAATTGTCACATAATTGTTTTTAAGTGAAGCTAATACATGTCATTCCAGGAAAACCAAAACGTGATCAGGTAAACTCCACCCAAAAGAGGCAGTTAGTTTGGGATTGGAAAAAAGGATCTCGTGCTGAAAAAGTGGATATTCCAGAGAAGAGGAAAAAAACATTGGTGCAAAAAAAGACAAAAATGCAGATAAGTACATCTGTCTTCAATGTTTTGAGTTATCCTTACAGGGGAAGCAAGATGAAAAATGTGCGAGCATTTGCAGAATTGATCAATCAAGCATCAAACGCCACAAACATCGATGGCACACCTCACCTAATCCAGAACTATGCAAATTTGTTCCTTCAACAGCACTAGATGTGCAAGAATTAAGAAAGAAATATAAATTTACAGAAAGTGGTGATTTAGTCGAGATGAAAAAAACACTTGAAACTGGGGCTTTGCAATCCAAAGAGGATTTAAATCCTGAAAAGGAATCCTTTCCAAACGAATCTGACCGTTGTTCAGTGTCTACATTTGAGTCATTGTCAATTAACAATTCAGCTATCGAGTCTTTTGATGATTCTCTGTTGGATTCATATCAAGATTTGGAAGAAAAACCTATGTCATCATCCGTTCAGACACAAGAGTTACTGGATACAGAGGTTCATGATGAACAAAGCCTGGATGTGCATAAACCATCAGCCAAGAGCCAATCAACCCTGCTATGTTATTCAACTCCTCAGTCAAATACTTCAGAAGAAGACTTGACCCTTCAACATGTAATGGGCGCTATTTCCAACTTATCCATAAAGATGGACAATATCAGCAAACAACATGCATCTTTGACCGAACTGGCTTTCGAGGACAGTGAAGTAAGAACGTCGGTGAATAAAATACGAGAGGCAAATAATATCGTTGAATTGAATGATGCTTCGCCTCTTCTGCAATGGTTCTACGACGAAATTACGGAAACGGCTGTGTTACGTTGTTTGCCTTGCTCCCAGCTACAACAAGAAGCTGAACCTTCCCTAGCGAAACTGACACCATTGCAGGCTCAGAGGATTTTAAATTCCTCCGGCAGCGGAACTTTGGCAACAGGAATCTTTTTGAAAAAAGATAAAACACAAGCTCTTATAAAAGGTCACAATGCAACATGGTACCATCAAAAAACCGCTTGCATTGAGCATTTGTGTCTTATTGGCTTTGGATCAAAACAACACAAAAGAGCAATGGAGATCTACAAGCAACGGAAACTCTCGAAAGAGAAAAGAGCCACAAGCACGTCAAATATTTTTCGGGCCGCTATTGTCGATATCAAAATGGGAGCAGCTGGAAAACACCTGGAAACATTAGTTTCTTTTTTAGCCTGCTGTTCTGCCAACGTCGGTAGCATTGGACACGGAAGGAATAACTTTAATGACATTCTGTCTTGCCTGGAAAGCACCGTGAATGCGAGAATGAAGAAATGGTTGATGGAACCACTTACTTCCACACTCTTACCGCCCCATTACTGGGCAACTGTCGACAAATCTACACCATCCAGAACAACCAATCAAGCTGTTCTCGTTGTGGCTCGTGACGACACAGGTACGCCTTGTCCGATTCCAGTTGCAGCGCCAGTAGTATACACTGAATTCCAAGCAGCAACATATGACAAACTTGCAGATATCCTTCTTCAATCTATTGAGGATAACTTTGCTAAAGATGTCATTACAAGACTCTGTGGTGTAGCTACTGATGGTCCTTATTACCAAGCTAGAGCATTTCGCGACCAGCTTGTCCAAAGAAGTTTTGGAATCGAAGCTAAAGATTGTGAGGATATATTCTTGCCAATTACGTGGGACGCGGCACATCTAACCAATTTAGGTGTTCTAGATGTAAAGGACTCCCAAACGCCAAGTGGTACCCACTTCCAAAAGTTTATTAAGCGCTGTAACGTTTTCAACACTTTACTTGCCAATGGAAAAGGCTTCGCATTTCTTCAAATGGTGGACCAAGACGCAAGAAGACCTGTATCATATGCCACACAGCGCTTTACTAGTTCCTCATATGATCAATGGGTCAAAATTGAGAAAAGTTACAATGCCTTCTGCAAGGCATTCGACCTTTTAAACCCACATCGAGATGAAGAAGAAGAAACCCAATATAAGATTTTGGGTTCAGATTTTGTAGCTGATTTGCTGGCTTTTCTTGATACATTAGAGCCGATTGTTAATCTCATGCTTCGTGTACAGTCCCTTGACTGCCCAGTGTGGAAGTTGAAGTTGTGGTGGCCAAAAATAAAATCAGAGATGGAAAAAGGTTCCCGTGGAGATCAAGCCTTCTACAAACGGTTGGCAAAAGTTAAAAATTTCATCAGACCCGGTGGCCAGTTTAAAGGTGTAGATCTTTTGGAAGGTTGGCTCATAACCAAGATTGATTCCGACCGTGATACTCCGGGCAACTCAGAGAAGCTTTACACATGGAAAATGAGAGAAGAAGAAGATATAGAACGGGATCATAATCAGTTCGCACTGGATCTAATGAATGCTGTGGACAAAAGAATCAACTCTACAGTTACAAAGCCGTATTTGACAACGCTTGAAATCTTTGATGCTGGTCGCTTAGTGAGCTTACAGTGCGGACGCCGTCAAGATAATGGAAACGTAAAGCTTTCTGTGTCTGAAGGCGAATATGAAAGTTATGGCGTGGAGGAAAGCAAAGCTGTCATGAAGAGTATCTCTAATCTACCCCACATTATCTCCTCCGGTATGGATTTTGACGAACGTTTGGCTCATCGAAACATGTTGCGTATAAAGGAAGCTATTTTTGCTGGTGTTTGGAATTGCTTTTGTCCTCTATGGTTCAGAGATGAGCACAATAATCCGTTACCGAAGAAAGATGCCGATCTTATCGAAATCACACCAAGCAATTCAGATACCTTATTTGATGTGATGTACATTCTGAAGTACAGCGATGGCGAAGAGTTTACTGCCCGCTTACACGAGCAAAGCGTTTACTCTTCATTTTACTCCCAAGAAGAGGTGTATTCAATAGCAAAAGCACCTTCATGTGTGATGATTGATGTCGTCCTAGCAAAAGGTGGGCCTGAAGCAATAGCTGAAAGCTATTACAGCGCAATGAGGGCTCAGCAGCAGTCAGGAGGCCAATCAAATGACACGCTTGCTCGCAGAACAAAGTTAAATTGGTGCCTACCATCCCTGAAGAAGTGCGAGAGTATTATCAGAGAAAGTGTTGAATTATATTTGAAGGGCGATGGCCCCAATGGGAAGATAAAAGCGCATCGAATAACAACGTTTCTTTCCTCCAGAGCTAATATGTACAATGTTTCGAAAGTAGTTGATCGTGTCGATAGTGCTACAGGTCGCTGCCCATTCTTAGCAGATATATAACATTGCACCATATTTCTAGAACATGGACGAATAATTACTATGAAATTCACTTACTCGTTACGTTGGCTTGGACACATTAAGGACATTTGAATGGACAAATTTATAAGGACATTTAAATATTACAATTTTTAAATGCACACCGGCGTACCACAGCACGTCTTAAAAGTTTTTTTAGCTCTATTGGCGTAGGGGTAAAACCCTCTTGTTCAATCTCCGGCGTACGATTTACGCGGAATGCACCCTGGGTCATTTTGTGTAGCTCGTCAGAGAAAAAGCTTTCAAACATTGTTTCGAACAACACGTTGACGTTTATACTGCATTATTTTCGTTGTTCTGAAGATTTATTATCGATATGGATGCAAGACCTACTCAAGATTATTTGTTTTGCAC